TTATTGATAATATACCTCAAAACAGACAATGTATATATATATATATATATATATATATATAAAGTACTACATTTATTTTATAATGAACCAAACAGCTCAAAAGTATTTCTAATTGTATTATGCAAACTTTTTTCATTGCATTTCATTTTCAATAAACCAAACAGCCCCGAAAGTAATGATCTCCTCCAAACACCCAAAGACTCCCTATACATCCGCAACCACTGCCTACACGTTTTCTGCATGCAACTTGCTATCCAACTGTCGGTCTCACCCATTTTCAGTCATCACTAGCATTTATTTTCCTCTGTTTCTCTTCCTACCAAGAATCGATCCCTCCCATGATCTTTCCATACTAAGAACCCTAGATCGATGTCAACACCTCAACTGGCAATTATGTTGGGATAGCACTAACATATTGAAAGATATTGCAAAATAAAATATATGATATATGCAGAAATGAAAGTGTGATGTATATGAACAAAGGAAGAACTGAGAAATAATTTAGAAAAATGCTAGCAATAACCATTCCATAAATAGGAGGCAATAATTTATAGAAATAAACGATAAAATCATTAAAAAAGGCACAAGAGTATACAAATAGATCATGAATGTGAAAAGACGATGAGATACAGATAACATAAAAATATGCCAAATAGATTCAAGCTTAAAAGACAAGTATTGTTACCGATCCTCTAATACAAGATAGGGCAATGGAAGATAAAATTAACACTGGCGTAGAAGTGAAACATGTATAATCATCCTGACAAACTGCCATTAATAATGCTAATATAGAGATAATGAAGACAGCAGTGAATCTAGCGATGCTTTTGCATGGTATCATTACCACTAACAAAAAGAAAAAAAAAAAGTAAATCTAATAATTTGGCCATAGCAAAAAGCACCAACATTAATTCGTCCACATAAGCAACCTCAATGCCTTCCTCCATTCAGAAAAACCTAATAATCTGTACTAGCCGTTTGGGTCTTTTGAAAAAAAAAATTTATTCACTTTAATGTCGATTGTTTCTTGCGTTAATTATGATTATATCACTTTAACAAATGTAAACAAATAGAGGAATATAAGCATCAGATAGATTAACCAAAAATTGGATCATAATAAAATCAAGCTATTGTTTCTCAAAGAGCAAGAATAAATTTATGGAATCCTCCTATGAAATTCAGTGGGCATTAGGAAGTGAAATAGGTTTTCAAAGAAAAACTAAATCGCACTCCAAGATAAAAAGTTAAGAAAAATGCAACATGATCAGACACTATCTTTCAAATGGGAGGATTTCGTTTTCATTAAGAAGAAAAGGAAAAAAGGCATGAAAGTAAACGTTAGCACATATGAAAGAAGAACGAGACATTTACATATATACCACCAAATTCTGATATATTTACACATCTAAACACCTAAACATTATTTATTACATTGATACCACCCAAATCTTTCATATTACATAAAGTATGCCACCATTTAAAAAGAGAATCCACCTTTTAATGCATAGGTAAGGTGATATTTATGTAAAAATTGAAGTTTAGGTGTTAGACATGTAAATACATAGGTATTGAGTGGTATTTATGTAAATCATCCAAGAAAATATTTGATAACACAAATATGATACTTACAGTCATCAGCAGAGCAGCTGATCCGCCTTTGCATTGCAGAGTAGTTGATTGGCACTTGCATCTTCTCTAAAAGAATCACAAAAGTAACATACATATACCAATATACCATACAATATTCCTTAGAAGAGTATAGCTCTAACTGGAATCCCAGAAGTAAAAATCGAGAGGCAATCCAGTACATCTTATGTTCTGTCCAAACAAGGAGACACTTTGACAGCCTCTTGAATTGGATCTGCCCAAACAGAACAATGCTAAATATTAAGAAAAACAATGCACAAAATGCTAAAAACTACAGAGGAATATGTTCCTGATCTTAAATACCTCCTCAGCCGAGACATTCAAAGTCTCATCAAAATCCCTTCTAAAAGCCAGGTCAAGCTGTTCAGAAATTCTGTCAAATGCTTGTAGATCTATTCTAGGTTAATACTACTGTTAAGGAATATGTTTGTTAACACAAATCAACTATGATAAATTATTTGAAAATAGGAATGTTAAAAAACTGTAACAACAAAAACAAGCAACATGTTTTGGTAGATATCTTCTATTCAATAGTTTGAGGTGACGTCTAAAAAAGTTGAATTTTAACTGTTAGATATGAAAGTAAACATCTTTTGAGTATTATGTATGTCAATCCCCATTAAATAAAAAAAATAGAGAGAGATAGAAATATACACAGAGAGCATAGTTTCTCTCTAGTATCTGTAGAGAGAAATTGAGGAGTTGGTGAGATTGAAAGGATTCTCTTTTTGTTTAGATAGAGAACAACATCAACAACAACAAGCCTTTATTCCACGAAGTGGGGTCGGCAAAATGAATCATTCTTTTCTATTGCTTCCTATTGAGTGACATATTTTAATTTAATTCTAATAAATTAAGATCATTTTTAATACAATGTGCCCAAGTCTTTTTAGGACTACCTCTGCCTTTCTTAACATAAGTCAAATCTAAAATATCTACTCTCCTAACCGGATCATCAGATAGTTGGTGTTTAATATGACCAAACCATCTAAGACGACTAATCTTGTCCACCACTGGAGCATCACCAACCTTATTAAAGATATTATTCATTTCGCATTTTGTCTCTAATTGTCAAGCCATTCATACACCTAAGCATTCTCATCTCAACAACACTTAACTTTGTTTTAGGATTCTCTTTTAAAAGCCAAAATTCTGTGTCATAGAGCTAAAGTAAAATAATCAATTTGTGCTTTCACTTGTAATGACCATATAATCTTTACATTCTCAACAATCTTTTTTTCTCATAAGAAAATAATCAATTTAAGTTTTATTAGATTCAGTATTGTAATAATATAATCATCTTCTTTCTTAAATAAACTATTAGCATTAACAAAAACATACGCTAAAGTAAAATTCAATCTTATTCTACCTTCTTCATGATACCGGAGGGTGAAGGCCCAAACCACAAAAGAAACATAAATATTATTATTGACATTGAAATTGAATACAATGACGGCTCACAACAACTCACAATAGAAAAAAGAAAGACAGTACGAAACCCAAAACTTGCAATGGCAAGGAAGGAAGGTGGCAACTGGTTATGTGTGGAGGGAGGGAGAAGTGCCGCTGCAGATTTGAAGAGGTTGGGGGAAAGTGCGACTGTAGGGTTGGAAGGAAGGGAAGTAGAGCTGCAGGTTTTGGAAGGGCAGCTGAAGGTTTGGGAGGATGGAAAGGGGGCTACAGGATTTGGGCAGCTATAGGTTCGGAAAGAGATACAATGAGAGATTCATTAAATTCTGTGAAAGCTTGAAAACATTTAGGATGAAACCGTAGGGAAAATGACCCTCGACCGTGATCTAGAGAGTCGAATGGGAGAATGTGAGATTATGAAGATGAAGCAGGAGATGCAGCCTCAGTTTCTACTAGCTTACTACAGACAGAATATTCAGACACTAACTTCAAAATTGGAGAGGCCACATCACCGAGTGACAATCCCATCATACAGACATAGTTCAACCTCAGGATGTTACAACCATAGTATAGTCAGGAGAACACCCAAGGCAACCCATTAAAGGAAAACTTGATTCAGACTTGAGAATAGGTGAGCCAATCTGCATCCTTAAATCTGTCACCGCCAGAAAGTGTTGTAAGTGCCACGGACCTGGAAATATTGAATTGGATTTGCATAAACAAGGGAGTGATATGTTTCATTGAGTAAGGCGTTTTGGAAAAATTGGAAAATGACACAGTAGACACTAAAGGCAGCAAGGACACAAAGGAGAACCATATTCCATTTGTAGAGCACATAATTCCAATTGAGATTGTGGGAGAAACTCTAACCGACTTCATGGTGAGTGTCCAAGGCAGTCTTGAGTTCGAGAAACAGACACCAGAAACATGTCAACCCCATATAAGAGAAATCCAGACCATCCAAATCTATAGACTCATTCATGAGTTACCACTATTGAGGGAGGTCCAACACATCATAATAGTGCTTTTTTGAACCGTGTCTGAAAGATCATACGGAGTTATTCAGATGTTAGATTTAGTTCAGCATAGCACCCATCATCAGATGTTCAGACAAGTGGGACTTATATGATGCGAAATCTATAATTTGTCGTTAATGCTGTGTTTGATCATATAGAATTGTGGGATTTATATCGAGATCAATATGTAGGGATGCCTAAACTCATAACAGAAGTAGTTGACAACAAGCTCCACATTAAACATACGGTAGCCCTTATTAAAAAAAATATAAAGACAAAAAAAAAATGATCAAAGTATGTAAAAGACTATATCAAGCGATTTGTATGTCGATGTACCTTTTAAGGAGAGGATTAGTAAGACAAAAGACCTAAGATTTCACATGCAAATAACGGCTACCATATCAAATGGGATGGAAAGAGGTGTGTTAAGAGACAAACAAGACCGTGAGAAAGATTTTGTAATGCATAAGAGACAAAGGTATCGGGAGTTGCCTCATAAAATGTAGCATCAAACGATTCACAAAAGTAATTAATAGAGAAATAAAAAAATGGTAACATTTTCAAGTACAAGAATAAAACAAAAGATAAAATTAATTGTAAGAAGAGAGAGATTACCACATCCAGAAGAAAAGTGAATGAAACAAGCACAACCAATAATAGAGTAAGAGGAAAATTGATTTGCATGTATTAGAAAAGAGAAGGTTGCCCCACTAAAAGCAATGATAGAAACAAAATTGATTAGGAAACAAGGTGCTATATAAGCGTCGAACATTCATGAGAAATATCAAGGTATGAATAACATTGATTGATGTGGATGCTTATATTTAGCCAAATCATTTTACTATGATGTAAATGCATATATTTAGCCAAATCATTATGGTAGAACATTCATGAAAATATGACAATAGGACGCAATGGAGAATAAGGATAGCCGACCCCACTTAGAAGGACAAGGGTTTGTTGTTGTATAAGAGTAAAAAAACTTTTAGATAATACCATTATAAGCATTCAAGAAGTGAAAATTAGACTGCAAAACTTTTGGCCATTATCAAAACAAAGAATTTTATGAGGTGAAAATTTAAATTCTTATTTCTTAAGAAAATGATTAGAACAATCAAATGCTAAGATATGTCCAAGTAATCTTGATGTAGTCATCAATACAAAAACAAAATACAAAAAATCAAATGGGTGGATATCGACTATGGACGATATACTAAAATGGACCAATCAAAAAAAGGTGCTAATATGAGAAGATTTAGACACTGACGATTATTCTAGGCTTCACATTTAATATTATAAACAAATAACGACATATGAGTGAATCCTTGAAGATGGTGAGGATGGTGTCTGAGATGACAATGCCATTTGTAAGAAAAAATAGTGAGGGAAAGGGCAACTAAAGAAGCTTATAAAGAAAAAGTAAATGCCATCAATTTCAAATACTCCACCTCTCATCTTATTAAAATACAGTTGGAGGGATAAAAAATTATCAACTGGTTATGTGGTTGGTATGAAAATTTATAAAGAGCTTGTTTACAAGTGGGGAATATACAAGACATTGTTTATAGTTAATAAAAGGAGAAAGATCCTTACCCGAAATAGAAGAGAGAGAAAAAGAGGGCCATATAGCATAGCAATAAATAAATGCAAGTATGATATTGTAATATAGATAGAAGCACTAGAATAAAAAATTCGACATATTGAATAAGCACTTGCAATTTAATCAAAAAAATTTGCATGAAGGCAATGATAGTCATCTGGGATTATTCTAGTGGGATCATATTCATCTAGGAAGAGCAACAATTCCAAAATGATGATTAGTAAATCAAAAGTAATAATGGTGACATGCTAAATAATTGGAATATGACCAAAATTTTCCCAAGAAAGATCAAAGAAGCTATTAGTCCTCTAACTGTACAAACAAAGTGGAAAAATCAGAAAGATCCTATTTAGCACAGCCGTGAGCATAATAAAGAATTGATGAGAAATTTTAATTAAAATTATTTACTTGAGTTTCCAGTTATAGTTTTGTGCAATTCTTATTTTGAATATTCATGTTATGGAATTAAATGGAAGATTTGAAAATTTAAAATTCAAATAAATTTAAAATTTCGAATAATATAAAAAAATGAAAAAACAAACTTAATCATTGTATGATTAGCAATTAATTACCTTTTTTTCATATTCTTTTAGTGTTTTTAAGGTATTAGCTCATCATCTCCCTCCACGCGCTCTTTTTAAAATTTTCAAACAAGAATAAGGGTTTTATAAGGACCAAGTTATTTGTTGTTTTAAGAATAAAACGGATGATAGGTTAAGCAAAATATTGCAATTTCATCTAAAACTTATAAGCTTGTTGGCCAACCGAATGAGGTGGAGAATTGATAATCTTCCACCACCATACTTCTTTGATAAATGAGATTTATTTATCATTACACTTTCATTTTTCTTCTTAGTATGAAAATGTAGATCTTGCTGGAAAATTTTTGCTCCTTCCCTCTATCAACCTATAATTTTGCATCTTCATATCTCCCACAAAATCCCCACTTAAAACCCACCTGAAGTAATCGGCTATGACTAGGCCATGTCTAACCTAGTCTTATTCAATTAGTTAATTACTCCCCTCGAGACCATAGAACTTTTGTAAAAAAACACAAAAAGTAATTTAAACAAATTTTGCTACTACTAGAAGTTGTTTTCCAATTTTTTTTCGGGCCCTAACCCTTCCAAAAAAGGTCATAAATCCACCCAAAGCTTTCTTTATATTATGTCCATGCATGACCTTGTCCCCATATTGCACAAAAAAATAAAATAAAAATCTAAACTCCACAAAACTTAATGATACTTTTCAGATCATATATAGCATCTAAATCTAATATTTTCAAGTGATTTATGCCTTGCAACTGTATATATTTTCCATACCATAGGCTTAAA